AGGGGAGGGGAGGGGAGGGGAGGGGAGGGGAGGGGAGGGGAGGGGAGGGGAGGATAGGGGAGGGGAGGGGAGGGGAGGGGAAGGAGGGAAGGGGGGGGGGGGGCTGAAGCCTTGGGACCCCTCGGTTAAGCCTCTGCTCCTCCTCACATCCCACCCTCTGCCCAGACCTCAAACCTTTAACACACGCGCCTTTATCCTACCGGCTGCACGGCCGCCTCCTTAACCAAGCTTCTCCGGTCTTCCCTTCACCTTACATACCGCGAGACGCATTAACAATTACCCTGTGTAGGGACGCAGGGGAAGGCTACATACAGATGTTTAATGGCTTCATATACAACTGGCGTAATCGTGAAACGGCGGCCGTGTTCGCTGTTGTTCATTATTAGCCCCGGCCGTGCATCGAACCAGCTAGTTGACTTTCGGGCGCCGTCTACCGAGCACACCACACGCCATACAAACCCCCATCCCATCACCAACACCACCCTCCCCATCCAGACAGGCGGCAGGTCTGCGTGCACGCACCACCACCAGAGCACCGGGGGCTGACGCCTCTGCGAGGGTGGCGCCAGGGCGGTGTGCTCACTTGTTTCCGAGCAGCACCTCCGGGGCGCAGTACTCCACCGTGCCGCAGAAGGTGGACAGCAGCTGGCCGCTCGACACGAAAGTGGCCGAGCCGAAGTCGATCAGCTTGACGTGGAACGTCGAGTCGATGATGACGTTCTCGTCCTTGACGTCACGGTGCAGGATCTCCAGCGAGTGCAGGTGCTCCAGCGCCGAGCAAATCTGCAAACGGGTAGGATCTCACCGCCCACCCATTGTGTGCCAGTCGGATGCCCGCGAGCAGAGCAAACTCCTGGGTAGATGCTATAATGACACCGATATTTTTAGGACCAACAAGTCAAAACCGGCTGATCGCGCCACCAAGCAGCCAGTCCCAGGCCTCCGCCGCCCGCGCAGACCCATCACACACGCAGACTGACCGTCGGTCAGCCTGGCGATGGCCGCGCCGAGGCGGCCACCGCTCCAGCCCGCGCAGTCGGTACCGACCCCGCAGCAGCGGCGCCGCGGATCCCCGCCGCTGGGGCGCGGTGGGCGGCCCCAGCGGGCCATCCCGCCGGCCGGCCCCCGGCGCCCACCTGACGGAAGATGTAGCTGGCGAGCGGCTCGTCCATGGCCGGGTCGCGGTCAATGAACTCGAACAGGTCCATGCAGCCGTGCCGCTCCATCACCATCTGCAGGTACTGCTCGTTCTCGTACAGGTCGACCACGCGGATCTGTCGGCGTAGCGCGCGGACGCGTCGGGGACAGCGTCAGACAAGACCGGCCCGACCGACCGGACCGGACCGGACCGGACCGGACCGGACCGGACCGGACTGGACCGGACCGGACCGGACCGGCTCGGCTCGGCTCGGCTCGGCTCGGCTCGGCTCGGCTCGGCTCGGCTCGGCTCGGCTCGGCTCGGCTCGGCTCGGCTCGGCTCGGCTCGGCTCGGCTCGGCTCGGCTCGGCTCGGCTCGACCAGCCAGCCGGCCGAACGGCAGGCACGACGGCCGACGACAGCACAGTCACAGAGCGCCCACAGCTGGATTATCACTCTTCAGTACGGCACTCTTCGCCCTCTGAGGACCAGAATTATGCACGGTGGGAGCGTGCAAACAATCACGGAGGTGGCCGTCGGTCATCCAATGACAGCTTGGGGCGGGTGCTCTCGCGAACGCCAGGCCGCAGACGCGTCCATACTAGGATGCCAACAACGGCCGCTGTTCAGCATTCGGCCGACGGGCAGAATCACGAGAGCCAGCAGCCCCAGCAGCGCCGCCGGCGCTGATCTGGTGCCCCTCCCCTCCGCTGCCCGAGGACGGACGGCCGCCGGGGCGCTCACGATGTGCCGGTGGTGGAGCATCGAGAGCAGCCGAGGACCTCGAGCGGCACGCGGCGGCCCAGCGTCGGGTCGTCCACCCAGTGGTCGGCGTGCACCTTGTCCTTGCGGATGAACTTGGTGACCACCTGCCGGCGGCGGCGGCGGCGGCGTCAGGCGGGGCCGGCCGCTCCCCGGCCAGACCGCGGGCACACGCTGACGACGGCCGGCCGCCTGCCACGCGCCGCTTCCCCCACGAGGCTTACTGATGCGAGGAACCACATGATGGTGTGCTGGACGTTCACGCCGAGGCTGCTCACGGAATGTTCCAGTGATGCCTTGGCCACAATCGTACCATGATTTACAGTGAGGCTCAACCAGGCAGGGGAGCCACGTACCGAGCACAAACCACAATTCCCCACATATGGTACGGACACCTCGGGCTTGGACACACAAGTACTGGGCACGGCACGCGTGAAGCGCTTTCAACACAGCTCCACAACACCTCCACCGATGCCATCGGAGCTCCGACACCCTAAGTCCAATCCGACCAGAGTGCAGCTATGTCTGGTGATCAGCAGCCCCCCACATATCCCACTTTTCACTTCGTCCTTGGATTTAGAGCACACAGTGACGGAATTCAGTCTGTCGACGCTGCGAACACCTAACCACCAGTGTCATATAACAAAGCCGCAGACGTCAACCGCAACTACGCACTGTGAACCGCCAGTGACGGACTCCACGAGAACCAAGTATACACGGTTGGTATGTGTTCCCCACCATACCATTCTTGTCGTCCATCTCCTCACCAGCATGCGGTCGCCGTTGCGGTACCCAAGCTTGACGAAGCCGAAGGCGCCCTTGCCGATCTGCTGGATGGTGGTGTAGTAGCGGCTGTAGTCGCCACGGCAGTGTCCGGCGTCCTCGCTCTCGGCAACGCTGGCCGGCGCCGCCGCCGCGCCCGCCGCCTGCTGCTGGATCACCTGGCGACAGGGCCGGCGCCGGTCGGCGTCAGCCGCCGCCGGCACACACGCCGCCGCGGCTAGCTCGGGCCCGGACTCGGGCCCGGCTGTACATATGGTGCGCAAGGGGGCACGCACAGGGGAAGGGACCACACACAGTTCCACTGCCCGGGAACTCAGCATACAGCCTGCGCACTCAGGCCGCGGCAACACACGGAGGGTACTTCTCGACACGCTGCCGACCCATCACCCGGAAGCTAAATGTTGATCGCCAGTGACGTAAATCAGGCCGCGCACCTACGCGAGGGACATTGTTGCCGTGACAGGGAGCTCACGAACGCGGGGATCAGAACAACGTGGCGGGGTGATCGACACGACACATACACTCTTATGGCACACACAGGCCACTCGCCGGTTACCAAAAAGCTGGCCAGATGTCTGTCATGCTGTCTTGTTTCACACGGCACTGCGTCCTCTTTGTTCGAACCACCGCTACCGCATCTCTCTCGGACGACAGCTCACTCTCGGCTCACACCCGATACAGCCTGGGTCTGTGCCGGGCCGGCACCCCGCATCAGACAGCCGGGCCCAACTTCGCCGGCGTTCGGCGCCGCCGCGCGCCCGCCCGCCCGCCGCGCGCCCGGCCGTGCCCACCTGTCCCAGGCTGAAGTGAGCCACTCCGGCCGACAGGTCACCGGAGAGCAGCGAGTCGCGCGGCTCGGGCCGGTCCTGGCCGACCCACAGGCAATACACGATGCTGTCGTCGTCCAGGCCCACCGTGCACAGGTCGTAGGTGATGTCTGCGGCGGCGGCGAGGTCAAACACGCCGCCAACGCAGCGCACACCGGCTCGCGGACGCCACAGGAACACTGCACTGCCAAGGCCTAATTACTGAAGACGCAACGCTTGCGGCTGCGGCACTGCGCAGCCCCTGATTGGTTAGTCAGCACAGAGACACGAGGCAAACCATCCGAGTTCACAGCAGGAGCACGACCCCGTCGGGCATGCCGACCTCCACAAGCGTGGGGTGCTCCGCGCCGCTTCGTTGAGTCGCTGAGGCACCCCCGTCCCCACCACTCACTGAACTCGCTGCCGTCCCGGTGCCGCGCCAGGGCCGTAGTACGTGTTGTCCGCGAGCGGCGGCCGGCGGCGCGGCGCCGTCCGCCGCGGGCAGGGCGTGGAGGTGACGGGCGGCCGCCCGCCAGCCGGCGAGCCGGGCGCCGGCGGCGGCTCGCTGCCCGGCTGCGTCTCGTCGCCCTGCAACCGGCTGGCGCGGCGTCGGCGCCGGCGGCGGCGGCGTGCGGTCGCTCGTCCAGCGCCAGCCGCGCCAGGCCCAGCCGCGCGCCGGCCGCCGGCGAGTGCGGCGCCGGCGAGTCGCCGAGCGGCGGCAGCGCCAGCGACTCGTCATCGCTGTCCAGCATCTCCATGTCCTCCTCGAAGGTGGGGATGAGCTCGCGGGATGTCCTGCGCGCGGCGGGCACGTCGGTCAGCGCCGCCGAGCCGCCACAGCCCAGCACAGAGCACGGACAGAACACCTGCTGGGGAAAACGTCCAAAACGGCCCTCGGGAGATCGCAGAACCGGCACAGAGCACGGACAGAACATCCTGGCCGGGGGAAAACGTCCAAAACGGCCTCGGGAGATCGCAGAACCGGCCGCAACACGCAAGGCACAGCTCCCGCAAGACAAATGAACGTCCAGAGATGAGCGTCAGAAATCCAACAAACACGACAAAAGCTCACTTCGTTTCGCAACTTCCCTGCGCATACCGCAGAGGGTGGCAGCAGACAAAACACTCCATCGCGCCGCTGGGGGCTCACCTTGCCGATGAGTGCGCCCTTCTCGTAACCGACCGTCAGTGATATAAAATTATGGTTGTAGTTTCTGATCTTCAGGTGCTCGTCCATGACTACAAGTCCCATAAGACTGGTGTAGGCCTGTAACATCAGGCAGTGGGCACTCCGCACTGCACCATCGCGTTTCATGCAGTAGAGGCGCGTGGGACGATAGGACAGAGCAGACGTTTACCGAGCGTCGTAGAGACAACAGTGGGCAGAGCATTCCCGAACGGGCACGGGGCGGAGATGAGATGGATCAACACGCCACGGCTCCCCAAACGGAGGCGGCCCGGCCAGACCCGGCTCGCCACCCCACCGACCGCAGCCGGCGTGGTGACGGCGGCACTCAGAGCGCTCTCGCGCCGAGCGAGGCGCCGCCGGCCCGCGCGCCACCGTACTCACGTGCACGCGTAACGACACGCTGTGGACGGGGGCGTCAGCCGACGGCGGCGCCGCCGCCAGCCGCACGCTGACCGGGAAGCTGCTGCCGTCCAGCCGCTTGGCCGTCACCTCCTGCACGCGCAGCTCCTGCCGGGCAGAGCGGGTCAGGAGCGACTCCTGGCGAACAGAGCGGGTCAGGAGCGGCTCCTGGTGGACAGAGCGGGTCAGGAGCGGCTCCTGGCAGGCAGGACTGTGTCAGGAGCGGCTCCTGCCGGACAGAGTGGGTCAGGAGCGGCTCCTGGCGGTCAGAGTGGGTCAGGAGCAACTCCCGGCGGGCAGAGCGGGTCAGGAGCGACTCCTGGCGGGCAGAGCGGGGTCAGGAGCGGCTCCTGCCGGGCAGACTGGATCAGGCGCAACTCCTGGCGGACAGAGCGGGTCAGGAGCGACTCCTGGCGGGCAGACTGGATCAGGCGCAACTCCTGCCGGGCAGAGCGGGTCAGGAGGGGCTCCTGGCGAACAGCGCGGGTCAGGCGCCGCTACCGTTGGGCAGAGTGCGTTAGGCGCGGCTACCGGCGGACAGAGCGGGTCAGGAGCCAACGCGGGGACGGCCCCGACCACGAGTGGTGCTGCCACTCGGCGCTATAAAGTGGGTTTGCTGCATGGCAGATGCCGATCTAATAAATGCCAGTCTCCAGACGCAACTAGCCACACAAGATAAGCCTGCTCGCGTTACACGACTCGGCGCCATTTATGGATGGGCTTTCTCAAAGGAGATCTTCCCAGGTCACGAACACGCTCTCTGGTGGTCTAGTGGTCCCCTTTATACGGCCCGGGACCCGACGGACGGCCCGGGGAAAACTGCTCGAGGTACGGCATGATGACATCGCTGGGACAGCTGGAGGGACCCTGGTCGGCAGGCACGGCTTGGCCAGCGCCGCGGCAGTTCGCCAACAAGCGCAGAGGCCCACCACTTCCTAACCAGAACGGAGACACAGCGGAGGCTTTCTGACCGACACGGGCTACATGGGCGCTGAAAGCCCTCTGTTTCTCCCGCTGGCTCCTACCATCAGCATGTGTGGAATGGCCGAGGACAGAGCCGACTCTCCAGCCCCGTGGTGGCAGCGGCAAGAGCGCGGGCCACGCTCACCTTGGGCACGGTGGGCAGGTCCGACGGCAGCTTCAGGGACGGAATGAAGTGGGTCACCTTCAGGCCGATAAACTCGTCCGGCTCCTGGCTGAACAGGTCACTGACGCAGCCCGACACGTCCGACAGACGGCCAAACCGATCACACGTCATCTGCCAACGGCCACCGCCAGGTCACACGTCACATGCAAACAACGGCCGCCAGGGCACGGGACACATACCGAAACCTAACGCAAGGTCATAGGCCACCTGCAACCACCTGACGCAAGGTCACGGGTCACATCTGCAAGCAGACAGCGGAACAGCACGGTTGCCCACCGGCCGCCGGCCGCCCGGTCACGGGTCGTGTGTAGCAGGGGTGCCCACTGGTCGCCTGCCGCCCGGTCACGGGTCGTGTGTAGCAGGGGTGTCCACCGGCCGCCGGCCGCCCGGTCACGGGTCGTGTGTAGCAGGGGTGCCCCACTGGCCGCCCGGTCACGGGTCGTGTGTAGCAGGGGTGCCAACTGGCCGCCTGGTCACGGGTCGTTGTGTAGCAGGGGTGCTACCGGCCGCCGGCCGCACGGTCACGGGTCGTGTGTAGCAGGGGTGCCCACCGGCCGCCGGCCGCCCGGTCACGGGTCGTGTGTAGCTGGGTTTGCCCACCGGCCGCCGGCCGCCCGGCCACGGGTCATGTGTAGCAGGGGTGCCCACCGGCCGCCGGCCGCCCGGCCACGGGTCGTGTGTAGCCCCCGGTTTGAGTGGGCCCGGGCCGCCCCTGCTCGGCCACACTGTCATGGCACGCCGAAGGCTCCAGCGACTGACGCCTGCAAAGCGTCGGAACACCACGCACGGTGGAGCCAAGTCACCGTCGCTATGCGACGAACAGCGTGCGACACCGCCTCGCAAGTGGCTATGACTCATGCAGTCGGGGCCATTCTGGGCGCATGCATCTATACATGGTTAATGATGACACGATGGCCGCCGCCGGCCGTCCGCCACCAAGGGCGTGCACGGACACGCACAAGCACCAGCTGTGTAAACGCCACTGGTCATGTGCAGATCCCACACATACTCTTGTGACGTCTGCCCGGCATTGAACCAGCGCTGGCCCATTGAAAGGTGAGGCCGGTGCCCGGCAAGCAGAGTTCCCAGCACGGCCGAGTTGCCCGCCAACGCTGCCTTAACAACCAACAAGTATTTTTTTCTGTCATTTAGCAACATAAATTGTAACATAGCTCCTGGATGAAGTCATTACCCTCTCGGCGCACCACTTAAATTTACACTGGGCCGGGCACGTGGAAACCCCCTTCCACAGACACGCGATTCCAGAAAACCACGTCACATAGTGCACATCGTAAATGTATCAGAAATTCATGACGTTTACGACTTGGCGTGTCCGCTCCAGACATTGATTACCAACTAAAGTTCTATGAATTTCCGGTGAACTGGCCACCAGCACGTGCAGATCGGTACCTGCGTCGCACCGGCACGACTCCGACCGGCATCCCCGCCAGCCGAGCCGGGCCGGGGCCGCAGGTGGTCCGGTTCTGACCGGCACCCCAGCTGGCCGAGCCGGGCCGGAGCCGCAGGTGTTCCGGCTCCGACCGGCACCCCAGCCGGCCGAGCCGGGCCGGAGCCGCAGGAGGCCACCGTACCTGCACGGTCTTCCGCTGCACCGGCTCCAGCACGGCGACGCAGCGACGCTCGGCGCTGCTCGTCTCGATCTTGCGCAGCCATAACGACACGGGGATGACGTCACCCCGCTTCGTCATGACCTCCACCTGGAAAAGGCAGGCAGCAGCGATACGGGTCACGTTTGGAATGCGTATGGTGACGAATGAGACCAAATAATAGATGGACGCCAGCCGACGTCGAACAGAGCTTTGAATTGGCAGAACACCAGGCCTCATGACATTGTGGAGACCTGGAGGCAGTATCCGAGCGATAATTGTCACCGAAGACGTGTCCACGGAGCGCCAATCTGGGGCCAACCCGATAATATGACTTGGCCGATACCACAAACGGTCCCTTGTCATGACTCAAGGTCCCACTCTCGCCACAGCAAACGTCGGCAGCAGCAAACCCCGTGCATCCTACCCCCCCCCCCCCCCGAGCTGCGGCACCCCTCAGCCTGTTGCCGCCCCTCCCCCGTCGCACGCACCACGTTGCCGGCGAACACGACGACGCTGCCCTCGGAGCTGAGGTGCGCCTCCTCCATGCGGGGCCGGCTCTCAGCCGCCACGAACAGCTCCTTCAGCCGCAGCTGGCTGAGCTCGGCGCCCGAGTAGCCCAGCAGGTCGGCGGCCATGTCGTTCCACATGAGAATCTGCCGGTCGGCGGGGCGTACCACATGAGGATCTGCCGGTCGGCGGGGGCGTGACCACCGACGCGACGCTAGCGCCCGAGCGCCGACGCCGGCGGTCGCACCGGGCGCTGTGACACGCGCGATCTCGGACACAGCGCGACGGGCGTCACCTTCCGACCGGCGGCGGGGTGCGGCGGGCCGGTTTCGCGAGACCGCGGCTGCTACCTCTGACCACGTCCGCCAACAGCGATCTCTATCGAACAATCGGACGTCGCGGTGGCGGCGTTGCCATGGCAATGACCGGACTCACCAGCTTCGACCACGTCATCAGCGGGGGCGTCTTTCGGCGCGAGCCGTCAGGGACGCCGGCACGTGCCGACATCGCTGATCTAACGGCCACAAAACCAGCCAGCGCGGTAAGCGACGCGGGCCCGAACGACCGCAAAGCCGCCGGCCGCCGCAGGGCGGCCGGGGCGCCGCGCCCGCCACCTCAGCCGGCGTCAGACCGGGACCGACCTGGGAGGTGCGGCTATCGATGGTGAACACGCTCTTGGTGGGCGTAATGAAGAGCGTCTGCGCCGTGAGCACGTCGGACGGCGAGAACGACTTGTAGAAGGCCCACGAGTCGTTGAGGCTGCGGCCGGCGGCGTCCGAGGCGCGCTGCTGGACACCGGTACGGCGAGCGCGCCGTCGCGCCGTTGAAGCTGAAGCTGAACAGGTTATCGCCTGCGGAGGGCGGTCACGTCAGGGCGGTGCCGCCTCCGGCCGGGGTCGCCGCCTTTTGGCCGGGTCGGGTCAGCAGAGCGCGGGCCGCGCAGCGGTGTGAGACGGCGACTGTGCGGTCACTGGGCTGTCGTGCGCCCTGACAGTAAACAACAGTAGGCATCGCAATACATTGCGCGGCGAGGGACACCGCCAGGTATGACTGCTATTTGGATCCGTCCCATGTGTAAGATCCAGTCTGCCACGGCCAACAACGACAGCTTGCAACACCCAACGGCCGAGGCCAAGTCTGAACAGTCCGGTGGTCAGTCCGACCGGGAGACCAGTCTCTCGGCCGGAACACTGCATCACTTGGGCCACACCGCGTCCGCCCGGGTCGTCCGCCGGTGGCTGACCTTTGAGAAGCGTGGCGTCCGGTTTGGGCCGGCGCATGGGCGGTGTGTCCCAGGGCATCATGGCGGCGGCCGTCGGGTGGCCCCCATCTCTGGTTGCCGAGAACGAGTCGTCGTCGACGGCGGCGGCGGCCCGGCGGCGGCGGCGGCTGGCTGGGCGTCAGGCCGAGCTCCCAGCGCCCGGCGGCGGTCGTCGGCGTCGGCGGCGGTGAGCGGTGCGGGAGCACCACCGGCCGCTTGCCCTGCCGGCGGCGCGGGTACGCCTCAGCCATGGCGGCACGCGAGGCACGCCAGGCGCAGCGGCGAGCGCGCGCGCCACCACCGCGCGGTAGCTGAGCCGAGGCGCACGCACGCCACAGCGCGGGCAGGACGCCCGGACAGCTGGCCGATGGACGGAGGCGGAGTCGTGTGGGTGGGCCACTGACGAGAGCTGGCGCGGACAGCTGGCCGACGGACGGAGGCGGAGTCGTGGGTAGGCAGACTGACGAGAGCTGGCGCGGACAGCTGGCCGACGGACGGGCGGAGTCGTGGGGTAGGCACACTGACGAGAGCTGGCGCGGACAGCTGGCCGACGGACGGAGGCGGAGTCGTGGGGTAGGCAGACTGGCGAGAGCTGGCGCGGACAGCTGGCCGACGGACGGGGGCGGAGTCGTGGGGTAGGCAGACTGGCGAGAGCTGGCGCGGACAGCTGGCCGACAGCAACACCGCAAATGTGGCGTTCCGGCAGGCGCCACACACAGACGGCAGGCGGGATCACACGGGACTGACACAGGCCTCGCCCCAGACACGGTAATGGCACGTGGCATGCCAGGACAGGAGGCGAACAGCAGGTAGAGCCACAGCGCTGGATACCATGTCGACGGAGGCGGAGCCCGGGAAAGGTGATACGGATCGCACGGGAGTGAATGTGACCACGCTGATGGCCAGGGAATAAGCAAGGCAAACCCGAAAGGCGATCAGAAAAGATAAAATCGGAAGCCACGCCCACGAGGGGGCCGCCGAGAATTGAACTGGTCATTATTTTCCCCATTTCGATACAATACTGTACATACTTATACAACATTCGGCATGCAATCGACTGCTGGGGGCGCAAGGCCACCATTAAAGTGATTTTTTTTATTTAGCTATTGTAGTTGAACAGCTGCTATTGCTTACGGAATCCAATATACCATCACGGAAAGCACAACGCACGCAACACTCGGGGACGAATCCCAGCGCTATCATCTGCGGAGCTCCCTGTGCGCCAACATCCTTTCGAAGGAAAAGCAAAACATCTGGGTGGAACGAGTGCGTTCACTGGATGAAAATGGGTTGTTTAGTGCATATATGATAGAGACCAACAAAGTCTCTGCCGCCGAACGTAGATCTGGTGTTACGATACCAGCGAATACCTCTGGATATTCCGGACAACACAGGCACTAATTCAGCGGGCAACAGACCGCTGCCGTCGACGGCTGTACAGATGAACTATGAACTATGAACTAACACTATGAACTAACACTGTGAACTAGGTCAGGGATGGGGGACAACGTCGATCGTCCCGTCCGGCACCGGTGTCGCCCACTCACCCTTCCAGCGAGCTGCGATCCAGGGAAGTTGGTCTTGTCCAACAGCGCTTGTCTGGACGACCTGGAATGAGGTCAGCGGTCTTGACCGGCACTGGCAACTGCGCGCGCGCGCACACACACAACACACACACACACACACGCTAGTCTCCGGGGCTGGGGGTGGGCAGGCTATGAATCACCAAATTCGATGCCGACCGACGATCTGCGCTAGAGACGCTGCAGCACGGCAACAAAGCCACAGCCGACGGGGCGACGCGCCGAAGCGGCTCGCCGGTTACCTGGTTACCGATCAACACAGCGTTGCCCGGCTCGATAGCCGAGCCGACCGGCCGCCGTGAACGTGGACGGGCTGCATGAGAGCGGCGGAGGGGCGGAGGAGGGCGAGGGGCGGTCGTTCTGACCTCCAGCCGGGTCAAGTGTGTGTGTACGGACCACAGCCCGGAGCTGCAGCCCGGCAGCCGAACTGCCGCCCAGCAAAACTGCCGCACAAGCAAACGGCAGCATATAACAACTGACATATACAGACAGATACGCACATCGCTACAAATACATATCCCTTTATTGCTGCCAAACAGTAGGCGATCGCTGCACCGTCAGGTTAGATGGAAACCATGCAAGCAAACTTCACCTCACACACCGTTGCCGTGAAAAAGTCATCACAATAACGCGGGCACCAACTTACATTCTCACACTGACATTGGGTTCTTACATCACTCAATGTGTCACCGTGGCTTCTCATTTGTACGGCTGTGTTTGTGGGCTGAAAAGATGGTTAGTCGAACGGCTGGTATTCCCATTCCCACCTTCGACGGCCCTGGAATGTTCGTCCCAAAAGTCAAGCCACACTTAGTTCGCGTGCATTTTAAGGAGGGTGAGCGTACTCACGACGGAAATTCCGCGAAGGCTGAGGAAAGGTCGCAGGGGTGAAAGTGTTCGTTTCCACTTTCAGATCGGCCTCCATCGAAAAGTTGTCAGTGGAAAAGTTCTGACCGTTCACTTACCGAGAAATTTCCACAACTAATTCTGGAGTACTGCAATGGTACCCATCTAAGGCCAAGCTTTCCACAAACCTCCCTACATTAACCTGCCGGGAAGTTTCGATGCAATACCCACTGTCAGCACTAAAAAGGCAATACGATGGCTACGAATAAGGTGGCAAAACCGCCTTGCAACCTCTTGAATACAACATCGCACGCAAATTTTTAGCGACACATTCCAAGTACACGGAACTCCAAATTACTGAGCATACAGCCCCAGCGGCGCTCGGCCGACGCTGGAAACGGCTGTGATTTGTGGGTGCGGGGAAATGTAGGTCAATATTGATGCGTCGGGAGCCCGTACCAGTGCCCATTCCAGTCAAGCCTTGACGGCTCTAAGGCAGGCATGTCAATGCCGTACAGGCCAATGACGTCATCATGCCTTCAGAAAATATCTCGCTGCTCTTCTAGATCTTTCTCAGTCCACCGCTTTCGTGAATTAGCCACTTTGAGCCTGAAACTCGTTCTTTCCATGCACTGCCACATTACACGTTTGATGTTTAATTGTCATAACGTCTGGGAATCATTACCATCTGGCCACTTCCCTACTTATTAGTACTATCAACCGGTTCAGTATCCTGAAAACGTGTGCCGATAGTGTAGTGGTTGCGCTGTGAGGCTGGGAAACCTGAGGTATCGGGTTCGATTACCCGCGGTGCCCCCCCCCCCCCCCCCCCTCCTACCAGGATGAGGCGGGCGACACCATATGGCCTCAGCAGCCGAGTGTGTCGTTAAGGCCCCAATGACGCACACACTATCCTGAAAACACCCCAGCTGGTGAAAGAGGGCAATCAAACCTGAATGACCTCTCAAACGGTCACAGAAACCGCAGAAATGTGAAGAACTTAACGTGACATATCATGAGGTTTTGCGGGGCAGGGATTCCCTTGCTTACAACCGCTGACTTATTTGGCCTAGCACAGCACAAAGAATTAGTGGGCTGCAAAATGTTTCTAAAAACACCGAGCCAGTTGGCCCGAATTTCGTCGACACATGTGACGTTGTTTTGACCCACGGCCTCCCGGAGGACTAAAAGCCACCCACTCCGAGTGTCGGAAATAACTTCCGGCCATGCCAGTGCAAGGTAGGCTCATCGAACTTTCAGTACCCGACTATTGATCAGCCTGATGGATTCTGGAGCGAAAGTATCTCCGACGTGACCACCGTATGACGTCACCGGAGTGGGCGTCCACAACGCTCTCTGCTGCCACATGCAGCAATGGTCGCTTCCTTCCGTTTTGGTCCTGTTTGATACAGTTTACCATCAGCCAGGGTCAATTTCACGATGCGAGGTCACCTGTCAGTCAGGGGCCCTTTTGGAGACCCTGGTGGAGCTATATCTTACGAAATGCTAGTAAGCTGATCTCATGACGGGCAAGTGACCTGGTTGAGTGGTGCCTGGCATTCTCACATATATATATATATATATATATATATATATATATATATATATATATATATATATATTATATATGTATATATATATATATCTATATCTATATCTATATATATACTAAGGAGTCTTGGATCCTTCGCTGTTGTCGCAAGTTCTGCGGTACCGATGAACCAGTAACACTGCCCTCCCTTCACACCTTCAAAAAGTTTCAAAACCACTGGGCTCACTCATTCTAAGATGGTTTAGTTCTTGGGTCAGTAAGGCATACTAAGCATTCAATTCAATTGAACTGAATAATATAAGTATAACGCACACAACATATATAAAATAAATAAGACGATCAAACTCTAAATCATCACCTACGTTCTAATGGCTTCACAAGGTGTATTGTGAACGCACGTCACGATAAGCATACGCACACAACATATATAAAATAATAAGACGATCAAACTCTAAATCATCACCTACGTTCTAATGGCTTCACAGGCGTATTGTGAACGCACGGCCACGGGCCTTGCTGATAGCGCCGCCATGTCAAAATGTAGAACGGACACCCGATGCCAGCCCGTGTTGACCGTGCGTACGCAATACAAAAAAAAACAGCACTGCACATCTGCCGTCAACGATGACTGGCATCTGTTGTCCGTTCAATAATTTCACATTTCGACACTGTGGGTAGCGTCCGTTATGAAAAATATTTCAAAACACATCTTACCAAACGATTAAGACGTATATCACTATCGTAAGATCATTTTACCTATATCTATTTAGACCTATATCACCATCGCAAGATCATTTTTGACCACTGATAAATTGACCACTGGGCTTGATTTCGATGGTTCAATTTCCATGGTTCAAGCAGGATTGTCAATGGCACATCATGTAAGGGTGTTAGGCGTGCCTGAACTCCTGCCCCGCTAACCTCTAGCCCCTAGCACTGACCCTGGCACCAAACATCGGTCAGTTACCCTATCTCTTGCGTCAATCAAGTTGTGTAGCTACAGGGAAGCATTCCAACGTGACATAGCTAGCTAGCCATGTTTAACCTTCGATGCACGAGGGTGAAGACCATGTGTGTGTCATTGGGGCATTACGACGCACTCAGCTGCTGAGGCTATATGGCGTCACCAGCCTCTCACCCTGGCAGGAGGAGCGGGCACCGCGGGGAATCAGACCCCCTACCTCTGGTTTCCCAGATGTGCAGTGGTTAACGCAGATGCGTTAGAAACTACACCACCGGCACCTCGGGTGAAGACCACGAAAACACGACCTCCCCACCCTCCCATTATCTCACTTTGCAAGCTTTGGACACTCTCACCAATGTGAGGCAGAAGCACACCGCCGCGTCCCGAGCGCACATGTGTGGTTTGTCTTGGGCGACCAGTTGGCAACTGGCTAAGGCAGCCACAATGAAACAGGGAGGCCGTAATCCCAGCGCCGTATGACGCGCTGAAGTCTGTTGGCAAGTTGACCATTAAACAGGAACTGTTTGACCAAGCTGGTGGGGGTCAGGTTCTTTGCAGCAAACTTTGACAACGAAGGACCCGGATCCCGAAGCCGCCCCAGCAACACGTTCCGGCACTCATTCAACTCATAGTTCGTTTGGTTCAAGACCATGTCGTCGGCTGCTGACTGGACGTAAGTCGGGTGCCACAGATGTTGACACCCCAGACACCGCTGGGCATAGTGAGAGCACTTAGCGGCTGAGATGGGCGGGATCGGAACGTGCGTGTACGTGGACCGATAGCACGGGCTGAGGCAATCGGTGGCTCCCGATGAGGGCATCGGTCGCTCCGGATCGGGGGATCGGTCGCTCGGGATGCTGGGACCCATAGCTCCAGGTGAGGGGACCGATGGTGCGGGTTGGGGAGATTGGTAGTGTGGGGTGGGGGATTGGTGGCACTGAATGAGGGGATTGGGGGCTCAGGGTAAGGGGATCAGGAGCTCAGGGTGAGGGCATGAATAGCTCTCGGTGCATGGGATGAATAACCCTAACATTGCATGCATCATCAGTAACCCTGTATCATACCCCATTTGTTGTGCTGCTTGCTTTTATGTCAGCTAGCACATCTTTCATTCCTGACTAGTTAAAAACTGACTAATAATTGACATTAAGTCAATCTGTAAGCCAGGAGCTTGAATGAGATAATGTGTTAAATAATTGGCTGATGCTCACCTGTCCATCACAGCTGTCCTGTCAAATTCCTCTGGGATTAAATTTGCATAAATTGGGAATTCTTGGGCAGCAATCCTTGATGCTGCAAAAAACCAAACACAATTAAAATATTAGCTGGCCATCAAGCACTACAATTGCATTGACTTGGCACTGTCAGGCAATCAAATTGAACCCATTTCAACCAAGTGGTTTCTGTTTCAGTATACAAAGAGGCAAAACAGTCATGGAAAATATGAGGATTTCCAATGCATCATTCACTGGATACTAATGCCAAAACAACACAAACAGCATGTTACACTTGACAAGATGTGCCATGATGAATGCTAAGCCAGGCTGCAAAAAAACAATATCTTCAAAGCTATAAAGCATTGGGGATTTGCGACCAGGTTGCTAGTCAAAAGCACTTTCCTCCTTACTTTGGCATGCTTGGTTTAAGCATGGAACCACATTTCAAACCTGGGCATCATAATTAATGTAGGCCTAGCTCTTATCAATGTCTTTGAGTGCAAAGGTTGGTTGAAACACAACATCATTATTGTACACTTTAGAAGGTTAAGCTCATCTCAACTAATTTCAGGCACATCACAGATGCAACCAATCCTGTTATGCATTTAGGCACTGCACCCCAAGCCCAGAGGCACATATATTTTCCAAAATACTGATTCACTGATCACTTGAATGCTTACAAACATCTGGAATGTTTCAACTATTACATGTGATACAATCTGTATCCCTGTGTAGCCATGTAGATCCACTCCTTCTTTGAAAATGGAATGTATATTTGTATATAACAGTTTTGAAAATCATCATTCCTCAAAACTCCAGAGAATTCACACATCAAAATGACCAATAGTATTGACTGTTATCAGATTCAAGCATTTTAAACATTTAAAAGTAAAAAAATACACATTTTAACATTTATGGCCATTAAATGTGTGCATGGGAGCCTCAGTACCGCTGTGTACTCAATTCTCCTCAGTACTCCTACCTCACGCCACTACAACCTGTCGCGTAAGTCAAATGGCCCCAGTCCAGTGGACATCTCGATCCGTCATTGGCGATCGTACACGCTGGCTTTAACAACTGGCGGCACGACAAATAAGACTAAATAATCGCATTTCAAGTCAATAAAAAAACAAAGACACGATGTAAAGCAGATTACCTAACCGCGCGTCCTAAGTGCCCTCCCACACCGTAAAATACCACAAAGCTGCGCCGATTACAAACCGTTCGCCAAGACATGCTGCCATATTCTGTTCTCGGGCCTTGCTGCCATATAAGGTCACTGTAAGCGAAAATTCATGAAAACAGTAGCTCGCGCACGCCGGCGCGGCTTCTGCGCACCTCCCCCACGGATATATATATATATATATATATATATATATATATATATATATGACCTCTGCTCTTCTCTCTCTGCAGTGGATTGAGTAAAAGTGAGAATTTATACAGAAGAGGCGAAAGTTACTGAAAAAATGTGTCCATCTATGCGTATCAGGGTACCTTTACTTTTCCCCTCTAAAGCTCATTGGCTGATAGCTTGCACTTCCGCCACGCCAACATCCCGTTATCCATTTGCCGGGCCAATAAAAGGTTCCCGAGTTTTCACGGGTGGCTACAATCACACATACAGGCGAATAGTTTGGTATATTGGATACGATACTGCACATCATACACGGGCGGCGCCCGAGCCGGGCCCGGACGCGGCGGCGGTGACGGCGGCGCGGCCCCGAAGTCCCTTCCTCCCGGTCAGAACTGCGGCTACCCCGGCTACACCAACTACGCTACACACACGCGCCAGCAACGGAGCTGAACAGCTAATCACACACGGAAACAAAACCGACCACTAGCGCGCACGAGCGGCATCGGGCCGACCGGCGTCGGTCGAAGGCACGGCTGACCTACGTGAGCTACGCAAATATCCTTGTAAACAGGCATATATAAGTGATGATCGGGCGCTTGCGCGCCAAGTGGCCGCACCAGCAGGAACGGCTCAGATCTACGTCGAAGAAGATGGTTGATAGAAGACACCACAGCGGCTCGCAGTTGCTGGCTGACAGGGCGCTTGTAGGCAGCGGTCGGCCGCGCGCGCTGCGGCTGACCACAATACACAGCAGATGACGCGCGGGCACGACGGCACCCGAGTCGTTAATCGGAGCATGGGGCCGGTGCACGCGCCCGGCCGTCCGTCCACACGGCAAGTCTTTTCGCACGCGACCACGCCCCGAGCGCACCGCTCTCCCTGTGGCAGGAGATATTGCACGCGGTCGCGGAGGCGCCGACGTCGCCGCGCCTCGCGTACCAGCCGCCTGCCATGCGTCCACGGCCCCAGTCGACGCGCCGGGCCGGACCGACGGCGCGCCGTCAGCCCCGCGGCGCACAGCGGCGGGGCGGGGCGCTGCCCGTCACGGCGGAGTCGCGCTCCTCCTCCGGCCGTCACGTCCACCTCACAGACGCGCTGGCTCGCCGCCGGCGATGTCGCAGAACATACGTAACAACGGTCGGCAGTCACGGCGGCGCCCCATCAACATCCGACGGGCGTTCGTCGGCAGGATATCACGAGCAACGCATCCAACGTATCGTAGCACATGCCGGTATCCGAACGAGGGCGCGCCTGCACTGCACGCCACGCACTCGCCTGCAACGTCAACTATCCGACTCTCGCCGACAGGCCCACGTACAGCCGGTAGCACACAGATCGTTCATGCCACGCGCGACCACGGCGCCACGCCACTGTCGGCCGATCGAGATTACAAATCAGCTGTCAGAATTACTAGGGTCACCTTTACATGGCCTGCGAACCACAGCCACACATACACATCGGGATGATCGTGAGAAACGAGCGCATTCGAGAAGCTTCACACCATGGCAACATCCGTGAAATACCACACAAAGCCCTTTAACATGGCAACCAGACTGCTGACGGTAAGCCGCGCGTCAAAACACGGACAATGAATGCGGAAACAAACGCTGGTCATCAAACCCTCACTGACGCCTGGATTCCGGTTTGGTATGTGGAGAAGACACCTACACGAGACGTTGCAACTTGTTATATCTGTGAATACTGGATTTCCAAACGAAAGCAGCGAAAGCACCACACAAATGCGAGGTCAGATGTTGGAATAAGAGGCAATGACTCAAGACCAGTGTTGAAACACGACGTGGCAGTGCGATAGGCCGAAAGCTGAAATAAAGCAATATTTTCAAGACCATTTACTGATGGCACAACGACAGACACCAGAGCGCTTGCAGTGCCCCAGCGCGCAATACGATGATAAGGGGCCCCTTGCCCGAACTCGCGTCTATTGGCCGCGATAGGACCGGGGATAGACAGATAGTATAGCCGTGCCAATGAAAGTAAAGCCGCCTCCCAGTCCCACGACTACACCTGCTTGGACATTATGTATGAACAGCAGCGACGAACGGCGTCAATATCGTGGGTAGGACCGGCTCGGTTCCGGTCGCTAGCACCAGGCATCATTCAGTAGGATTTCTCGGACCAAGCGCACCGAGCCCTGACTAGCCTCCAAATAGACTCCTCTAGGCCACCGCCCAAACAAGTTGAATGAAGGGAAGAAAATTATTTCAAAGACATCCATGATAAAACTTATGGCTTTGCACAGGGCTGAAGCGAAACTGGTATTGACTCACTGGAAAGTTGAAACCGGACATCAAAACCCTACCGCGCAAGACAGATACTAAATAACAACACGTCGTTATCGGTAGACGCCTCGAATCCGCATATAAAACAGCGCGACCGCGCGCCGAGCCGCCGGAGCGGGGACACACCGCTGCACCAGCCTGCCACCGAGCGTCGGGACTGCCGGGCCGCGCGGCACGCGACCGCCGCGCCGACCGCTCGCCAGTGCGCACCCTGAGGTCGTCAGGTCCCTGGGGCGGGCGCCAACCTCACAACCGTGCGCGCCGGCCGGCCAGACGCCTAGTCGACGCCGTCGAACACCTGCGGGGACTCGATGGCCTTGACCAGGCGGTCACGCAGCACCTGGTAGCTCTCGTACGCCGGCAGGTCCAGGCGGTTGAAGCTGAAACGAGGCGGGACCGATGAAGCAGGCGAGGGAGGCAGCGTTCGGCGGCGATGAGCAACGTGTAGGGGCAAGACACCGCTCATCAGACGCAGCGCAGCAGCAATCCCGCGCACCCGCAACACGACCCTGCTCAACGGCCCGGCGGCTGCAAGCCTCCCCACCCGGGAGGTCGGCCCCCACTGCGCGAACACTTGGCGAAACTCTGTGGCGGGCGCGCTTCATTCGGTGTTACATGGGGCGGGACGTGGAGGTGGGTGGGAGAAGTGTCCACACCGCCTGCAGTCGGGCGCCGCGGGCCCGACTCGGCGGCGGCCCGTCCAGCTGGTGCCGCAGTCGGGCGTCTCACCAGGTGTGGGCGCGCGGGTAGTTGTTGGGCGCGCCCCACTTCTCGATGGTGAACAGCTGCGGCCCATTGCTGCCGTACAGCTCCTTGAACCCGTTCATCGGCACACGCGAGGTGCCCGTCACAAACTGCAGGAGACGCGCGCGCATCTCGTTGCTGAACGACAGCACCACCTGCAAACCCGGTGACGGCTGTGGTAATGGTCGATTTTATCACAAATGACGCCTCTATTAACCATCATTGACCAGTCTCACGCGTCTTGGAACGCCACAGCCTATACACAAAACGCCGTTCGCCCGATGGCCACCGGATCTTGGTTCTGACACACCTAATCAGCTGTGTTCAAGTTTGTCTAGAGAACACATCCCAGAGACCACACCACTAATGACCAAAGCGGTTCAATACGTTACAAGATGGCCTGAAGGGTGTGAGATCCTGCACCTATGATCACTGAGCGCCCGGACAGCCTGGCCGTAAGTGTGATACGATATCAAGGGAAAATGGGCAACAAAATACAAATGTGGCCACCTTCATTCACACCATGGAATTACCTCTCCGATATTCACCTGTGGCCCTCAACCCGAGGTGCAAACCTGTTGCCAAACCAAACTAGCTCCTTGGTACAGAACTAAGCTCGGTCGAGGTCGCTCGGTTGCATCAAAGATCACCTCAACGAAAATGGCGGAGAAGCAATACTGGAACAATCTCCTCCGACCCGTTCACTGACCATCTCCGCACTCCATCCGCCCTACCAACGGTCCTCCTCCAGCGCTGGCCAGAGCATACCCGCCAGAACCACTGGATGACGATGTGGTTGGCGTGGAAGTCGCCCTTGTAGACGGTGTTCTGCTTCCAGTTCTTGACGTCGATGTTGCCCAGGCCGCACATGAGCAGCTCCAGCTCATTCTCGTCGAAGATCTTGAGCAGCGGCAGCGGCACGATCTCGTTGAAGCCCTCCAGGATGGCGTTCATCTGCGGCTTGATCCGCGACACGAAGCGCCACTCGATGATCAGGCTGCGGGCGGCAACAGGCGTTAGCACAGGCTCGTGGGCAGCGCTGCAGGGCGACGGGTCGTCAGAACACCTTCGTTGGCAGATCGGTGGGGAAGGGGACGCAGGACGCGTTCGTGAACAGGGCTGCAGGGGCGTCAGGCCACGATCCGGGGCAGAGCTGCGGAGCAGGGGCCATGCGCGCCCGTGAGCGAAAAGGGGACTTCAGTGCGCCACAGACAATTCCATACTGGTCAGATCACCATTCACTCAGGACACTCCGCTGCAATGTCGCACTGAAACATCCAGTACGGGAAGGGAAACAATGGCCGTTTCTGAGCAGCCACAAAGCAAACGAGCGTCCACCTTCCACACGTCGAAAGACACGACTCACGGAAACGTTGCAAAAAGTTGGCGACGCGTGTGCTCGCAAACACCAAATGACGGCCGGCCCTCGTTCGCAGCTATCTAAACCACGGTCCAGTCGCCGGCCAACTAAGCTCAACTCACCCGATATACTCATTTTTATTTTCATTCGTCACTGGAATGTTGGCGCCGTTCGGCTTGAGCTCGCGTTCGTTCTTCTTTCCGAAATTCTCCTCATCGACGGCGAAGGTCAGCTCCAGGTCGGCCGGGTCGTTGTCCTGGAGGCAGACACCACTCCGTCGGTCCACGCAGCAGCGAAACCAAACGCGCCACTGGCCGTCTGAGGCTTGACGGCGCGTCAACTTCATTGGTTATCTGCACCGCTGCCATCTACGTCGGTCGCCGTTTACATAGTGGTCGAGGAGTCCCCCATATTTCTGAGTGATTCGTGGAGCTGCTGCCCCAGGCTAAAGTTCTCAGGCAGGTCGATACCGATTTTTGACCCTCATTTATGCAGTGTTGTGCAGAGTTTGGACATTTCAAGCCGGCTGGATTAAGACATGTGATTTATGGTGCACTCAGAAGCCGATCAGGGGAGCCTTACGGGCATGGGGCAGATGAGCTCACCACCGCACCACTTACGGTCGCAATACAAGACAGAAAAAATACTCCGGCTATTTAGGGCAGTGCAATGCAATGCATTTGGATAAGGTTGGTTCTGCATTTTTGCAGCCACGCAGGTTGCTACGCACACCACTGTTTTCTTGTGCACGTAAATCGCACACTAGAAGGGGTCAAATTACCGCAGCAAAACTACATATTTTGGTAGAATCCAGGACACGGCGGTGAAAGCAATAGTGAACTGAAGAAATGGTGAACTAACAGCACCCTTCGAAGTTCATTCCACTGTGTTGTCACCAGGTATACAGGCAGAGCAGTGCTCCACTCAGATGCACATAGGGAAGTTGTGGCACTTCTCCACCTCATACCACATCACAAAATCGTAGTGCTCTGTCCCCATCTACAGGCACGAGTCGAAGCACTCATCCACCCCGCTCCACATGTAGGAGTGCAGTACTCTACCTCGAGCCGCATAAGGGAGCTGTCGTATCTCACCTTGATCCACATCAGGGAATTGTAGTACTCCGAGTCGACGCTCTCCATGTCCTTCAGCTCGATGGGCATGGCCAGCATCATCTTGTAGAACGGGCGGATGAAGAAAGCTGCGGCAGAGTACCACCGTCAAGGCGTCCTCGTCAGAGGCCAGCAGCGCCACGGCAAGCAGCCAAATGGCGCACCGTGTCCGACGGCATCCACACTTTGCAGGTGCCGTCACCCGCTTATCGCACTTGTGAAGTAGGTAGTGAATGAATGAGTGAATGACGTGAACAAGGCAGTGGGTAACGACGGTGACAATTAATTTCGTCTTGGCTGCATGTCCATCCTCAACGACGGCCACATGTTTTTCTGTCAAAGCCCGCACATATCATGTAACTTCTGTAAAACGTCGATACAAAAGCTGCAATCAGCACCCAGCCGGCGAACACCAAACTTGTTCACAATTTTCTCATGCGTATTTCATATTCACTATTGTCACAATACGCTCGTCAAACAGCCGCACCGCTATCCCTCAGCCCGAGGTGGCCTCACCATCCAACAGTTTGCCGTGGAACACAGACATGCCGGCCACCCGGCCGATGAACTTGAAGTAGGACAGGTGATCATCGTTGCACAGGCCCGAAGCTGGGTTGATCTGCAGCGTGTAGTTGTCCCTGATGAGCGAGCGGGCGCGTGAGGCGTCCGCGGGGCGGTCAGCTTCATGACACAGGTCATGTAGCGTGTCCCGATGACACGCTGGGCAGGAGGGATACCTGGGCACCCATGCGCTCTGCAGAGCAGTGCAGTTCAGTGCGGTACAACAAGGTGCGCTACAAGTGCAGTAGCGATGTACAGCGCCGAACAGAACGGCGCTCCACAGCACAGCGCAAGGCGCTGCCAGCGACGAGGCACGCCACGCCACAATACGGTACAGTGCAGTGCAGTCCAGTGCCGGGATATAGCAGCGCAGTTCAACACGACCCGTTGCCACGCAGTTCCGATAATTTGCTTCCCCCGCCCCCCCCCCCCCCCCCCATTGCCGAACGTATTCGGGCCAGACGCACGCGACCCTGGTGCGGCGGAGCGGCCAACCCCGCGCCGCCCGGGCCGGCCGTCCGGCACTCACATGGCCGAGTACTCGAACAGGCCGTAGTAGGGGTTGAACATCTCGTGCGAGAGCAGGAAGAACCACTCGCGCGACAGGCCACCGTAGTCGTACGCCGGCTGTCGATCAGACGGACGGGTCAGGGGCCATGGGGGGGGGGGGGGGGGCGCTGGTGGGCACGCCTGGTGCCCCCGAGCCTGGCCCAGAGTGCTGAGCCGAAGAACCGCCGTCGGTGGAGCGCTCGCGTGGGTGGGCTGTGGGCCGCCGTGCCATTCAACGTGCTGCTCATCTCTGGGTGTTTCCCACCACATTTGCGAGCACGTCTCCTCGCTGTAATAGGCGAGTGAATGTCGCCAATGTTGGGCAATGTCCAGCGAGGTTCAAGAAAAAAAACCCACAAACGATGACCCCGCACAGGACGACAGCCTGCAGCCTCCGCCAAGGATCCACGCCTGAGTACAGATCTTCACGTCCATTGTGAAGCCAGCTGCGATTCCAGAGAATGCGGCCGGACCACGTCAGAGCGCATGACGGCGTCACATGTCCACACGTCGACCAACACCATCAGCAGACCACAGCGCACCAACACACCGTTCGGCAGCGGAGAAGCCGCGCTGAGCATCGTCATCGGCCCCAGGCGCGCACAGCACACCGCCGGCGCACGCAGCGCCGTTACCTCTCCGTGGAACTCGATCCACAGCTTCGTCTTGAGCAGCTCCACCCGGGTGACGCACGTGATGATCCGGAACGAGTCTTCGAACACCGAGTTGCGGTGCACCTTGATCTCGAACTTGTTCGGCACGCCCGACTGCAGCAGGGCCACTGAGTGATCATTAAATCCGCGCACGCGTCGGGCCAACGCTCAGCCGCCGGCGCCGACGTACCGCGGTCTGACATGAGGCAGCAGCGAGTCTCACCAACAACCATTACCAGGATCCCATGTAGACAAAATACGACAAGATACGCATAAAATCCACACGGAGCGCCCAGCAACGCCCGGCTCAGTCCCCGATGTTCCTCGTCCCCGTTCCCGGGTCACTGACCGGTCGCTTCAGCTGGTTTCTCAGGTACTCGTACTTCTGTTTGTAGTCGCGGCTGTAGGGTACCACCTCGCCGGCGATGCTGGGGTTGAGGAGGCGCGGGTCCTCCCAGGTGGTGGTCCGGTTCTCTGCGGCACGGCATGCAGCCGTACAGAACAGAGCCGAAATGCGAGCGGCAAGGGTTCAGTCACGACACGCCAGCCAATGGGGAGGCTGGAGATGGGGCAAGCGGCTGTCGTCTTGGAAACAAAACATTCCGGGTGATATTCTCAGTGACGAAAAAGACAACGTCAAGGATGTTATCTCCAAAAATGAAAAAAAAATTATAGGTACCACTAAACACAGCCACCTATTGAACTTATTTGGTGTGCCTATGTTGAGCACAAGGTATTACGTCCAGCCCACACTTTTCCCATACACCGAACGCGAGTACCGACATCGTACAAAGAGCGGGCACGCGGGCCTAGTGCGCTGACGGGGGAGATGCCAGGCGTCCGTGCGTGCCTGGCGTCCGACGGCACGACACGAGCACGCCACCGCGCCCGCGCAGCGCGCGTACGGACCGCGCGGGCCAACGGCGAGCGCGGCCGCCGCGCCGGCCCCACTGACTGTGGTCGATGAAGAAGATGCGTCCGTCAGCGTGCACGCGCTCCTCCCAGCCGTCCGGCAGCGGGCCCAGCTCGTCGTCAGCGCGCCGCTGCTGGCCCGGCTCGTCCGGCAGCGGCGTCGGCCGACCGGTGCGCGGGTCGATCCACGTCGTCGTCTTGTTGCAGTGGTCTGGCGGCCACGCGCGCGCCCCGTCAACTCACAAAGCGACCGGACGCCGGCTCGGCCCAGCTGCCCGCACTTGACAGAGTTCAGGGCGTTTTTCGACGTACAAAAACCTTCGGGAGTTTGTTCGCAAATGTCGCATTGGTTGACATGGCTTTGTTTCGTTCTCCAACCTTTCAAAAGTGCCTGCAACGCATGCAGCTCGTCCTGATTTTACTGCACGCCACTCGATCTTTATTGGATGTCGCCACCAGTGAGCAGCCCACAGCGCCAGGCCGCACTCGCATCACTTCTTCATAATAGCGTTGTGGCTCTAGAGCACGAGTCCAGGGTGGCACTACGGGGGATGCGGGTATCCTCTCGTTTTAAGAATGGACTGCGTGCATGCTTGGGCGTGGATTCTGGCACCCAATGTCAGTAAAGTACTGACATGTGCGTGCTTGGCTGGGAACCACTCAACACACCCCAGAGATGTGAACTTACTGCACGACATCAGGTTTTTAACATAGACGTAGACGCTTATTCAGGTGCAAGCCAAATACCCATAAATGTTCGTATAGTCGCATGCGCTCTCTCGTTTAGTGTTCCCAATTTTCCGTTTTGTTTAAATGAGCCTCGGCTTCCAAACATAGTATGATCCTGGCACACACACCCCGGCGCGACGCGGGACACTGTGCTGCGCGGGCGTCAGCTCGCAATACCGCCAGCGTCGGTCGCAGTGCCTGGCGCCAAATGCCGCCAGCGTCGGTCGCAGTACCTGGCGCCACATGCCGCCAGCGCCGGTCGCTGGACTTGGCGCCAAATGCCGCCAGCGCCGGTCGCAGTACTTGGCGCCAAATGCCGCCAGCGCCGGTCGCTGGACCTGGTGCCAAACGCTGCCAGCGCCGGTCGCTGGACCTGGTGCCAAACGCTGCCAGCGCTGGTCGCTGGACTTGACGCCAAATTCCGACGGCCATAAACATCCGTGAGGCTCGTGAGGCTATCACAGACTTTGTACGGGAAGAAACCGCTCCAGACGGAGAGACTGTCTTTCTGAACGCACAGCACACACGGCCACAGTGGGCTGGCTCGAGCCGGCGCGGCGCTGGAGCGCCGTCACCCACCGATGAAGAAGATCCGGTTATTGGGCGCCCTCTGTACGGTCCAGCCGGCTGGCAGACCCTCGGGGCTCAGCTCCGGCTGTAACGAGCCCCACCGCCCCGGTCAGCACGGCCCACGCGCTGCCAGAGGTCACCGCCGCCGGCGCCGGGCGGCACCGGCACGACCTCCGCTCGGAATCGGTGGCGCTCTTTAGCCCTCGTCCCATAGATGCTGACGGGTTAGGTCGTGCTTATTCTTTGGGACCAGAGGCCAACACGAACAATGACGAAACAAAGCGGGTAAAGTTTACTTTACTTTACTCGCGACTTCGAACACTTGATTTTACTGATGTAATAGGCAGACTGAGGTAATACATGGGAATCATTTCAATTTTGGGTTCGTAAAACCAAACAGCGCTTTGTCCTGTAAGCCATAGTAAGGCGGAGGTCACAACACTATACACCTTCCATTCACTCGCCGCTGCCAGCCATTTCAGCTCGCAGCTCGCATGAGCGGACGGCGCTGCGGGGCCCGCTCAGCTGGGCGGGACACCTTGCTAGGGATCAGTGAGCGGACGGCGCTGCGGGGCCCGCTCAGCTGGACGGGACACCTCGCAGGTGATCAGTGAACGGACGGCGCTGCGGGGCCCGCTCAGCTGGGCGGGCCACCTCGCAGGTGATCAGTGAACGGACGGCGCTGCGGGGCCCGCTCAGCTGGGCGGGCCACCTCGCAGGTGATCAGTGAACGGATGGCGCTGCGGGGCCCGCTCAGCTGGGCGGGACACCTCGCAGGTGATCAGTGAACGGACGGCGCTGCGGGGCCCGCTCAGCTGGACGGGCCACCTCGCAGGTGATCATAGAACGGACGACGCTGCGGGGCCCGCTCAGCTGGGCGGGACACCTCGCAGGTGATCAGTGAACGGACGGCGCTGCGGGGCCCGCTCAGCTGGGCGGGACACCTCGCTAGGGATCCGTGAGCGGACGGCGCTGCGGGGCCCGCTCAGCTGGGCGGGCCACCTCGCAGGGGCTCAGTGAGCGGACGGTGCTGCGGGGCCCGCTCAGCTGGGCGGGACACCTCGCTAGGGATCCGTGAGCGGACGGCGCTGCGGGGCCCGCTCAGCTGGGCGGGACACCTCGCTAGGGATCCGTGAGCGGACGGCGCTGCGGGGCCCGCTCAGCTGGGCGGGCCACCTCGCAGGGGCTCAGCTGCGGTTGGAGCTCGCCACCGCTCAGCTGAGCGCCGCACCATGGCCTCCGGGTGCAGGGCTGCGCCGGCCGGTCGGCTGGCCGCGCCGCCGGCTACTCACATCCGCCGGCGCCGACGTGGAGACGGTGGAGCCGCGCCGCGAGCTGGCCTCGGCCTCCTCCCGCAGCGACACGCTGTTCAGCAGCTGCCGGCGACACGGCGCGCTGAGCGGCGGCGCGTGGCGCGCGTGGCGCGCCGGCGGCCGGTGCGCGCTCGGGTGCAGCTACGTTACGGTACCACTGACTACGGCCAGACAGGGGCACGGGCTCTGCACCAGAGGGGCATGGAAGGGGAATGCACCTGTTCGTGCTGCTCATCATCGGTATCTCCGCAACCCTCCTCATCTTCGTCAATGTTGGACAGCTGCGTCCGCCCAGCGAGATGGCAGCCGGAGCGCCGGGCGTCAGAGTCAGCAATGTAAGGCAGAGTGATTGACATGCAGACAAAGCAACCAGGTATTGCAAAGGCATGTTGATCGCCTCAGTTTTATAGGAACGAGGATGATACATTACCACACCATCCCTCCCGCTTTCACCCCAAAACGAGGGAACGGCAGCACGAGCTCATTACGACGAGGAAGTCAGTTTGATGACATTAAAACCTAATGACATTGGATGCACCAAACGAAGGACGGTATGGGACGAGAAACACGCTTGAGAAGAGCAGTGGACAAGAGAAAGAACAATGCACCAAGAGTGTTTCTTCCCAGTAGCAGGATCGAATGCCACCTAAAGGCAAGGTAACCGAATAAACAGAAGGGCGCCACGTTAGACGCACTTCAGTGTGGCAGGACCGCGTACTGAATAAACAAGCGGGAAATAAGCCCGTGCTTCCACAGGGCAACTGCCAGCCAGGAGCGCCCGACCGCGGAAGCCGCTGACCTGGTCCACGAGCGGTGAGTTGTCCTGGTGGGTGGAGTCCGAGGTCGTCGCCGCTGATGTGGAAGCGGCGCCGGTACACTCGTGCGCCGAGCCAGACTGCGCTGCGATCGTCAGAGGTGGCCAATTGTGTAGTCCTGCTGCGGCGGCGAGCGGCGGCCCCACGTCAGGGTCCGCCGTTTACGCGCGGAGGCAGTACCGTTGGCCGGGCGGCTGGAACCAGGTCAGGGTCCGCCGTCCGGCGGCGGAGGCAGTGGCGTTGGCCGTGGCGGCGGAACCCAGGTCAGGTCGCCGTCCGGCGGCTGAGGCAGTGCCGTTTTTGGCCGGGCGGCGGCCCCAGGTTCAGGGTCGCCGTCCCGGCGGCGGATGGTAGTGCCGTTGGCCGGGCGGCGGCCGGCTTCCCGACACCCTCCACCGTCGCCGGCAGCCGTGGAGACGTGAAACCAGACCCGAGTCGCCGCATGAGCGCAGCGAGAAAACATGAGCACATTCCGCGAAAATTGTTCATTGAGCCAGACGACGCAAAGCGATTAGAGACGCCGATTGGATGCTGGTACCGATAAAAAGCCGTCCCACAAATCAGCACGTACTGCATGCCCGTTTAGTGCGTGTAGGAAACGTGAGCAGAAAAAGGCACCTACCATTTTAAAATGTAGTACTTGATGTGCAGCACATAACCAGAGCGACCGGCAACGCACACATTAGGCAAATGTCAGTGTTGAAGCGGAACGCTCTTGTTAACATGATGGCGTTATTGCCACAAGGTTAAACAACTATTTTCACCGACCTTGGCGCGTTTCATTCGGAGAGTCTAAATCGGTTGTCAGTTTGAGCAAAATGTTGCCGGCAAGCCAACGCTGGCCGTTGGAAGAAGACGGCGTGACTCCAAATGCAGATCATTGCCGCCAAGTCCTGCGTGGGAATCAGCTTGATTTTTCGACAGTTGCAGTACATTGGCTCGGTCTACGGCTTCGCTCGCACCGTGGCCAGCCACTGCCCGACTCCGACGCAGTTCGCCGCCGACAGCGCGGCCGGCACCAGTACGCACCCGGCGTCCGGCCGCTCCCACTGCGTGAGGCGCAGCGCGTGGCTGACGTAGTAGACGCGTCCGATGGCGTCCTGGCGCTCCTCCCAGTCGTGCGGCAACGGCGCCATCGCCGAGTCTGACGACGAGGCGGCCGGCTGCTGGCGGGCCGGACGCGGTCACAGATACGCCGGCCGCGGCTCATTAACGGTCAGCGCGAGACAACGGGGTCCAAGACCACACCACTTACAGCTGTGCCATGTCCGTGCACACCTACAGCAACGGGAATGGATAAATTATGTGTATTAAAAGCGGCACATTCAACACAACGGTGACACCTGTCGGCGGGAACATGTCAACAAACCCGAACGAAGACCCCAACACAGGCCCTAGTTCACCACACAAACCATATCGCGGCGCCGGTCTGAAAACGGCAACGACGGGCTGCGGCGAGGCCAGCGACACTCTGAGAGGACCCCACGCGGCTGGCCCCGCCGTGTCGCGGTGCGCGGCCCGCGGCCCGCGGCGGCGCCGGCCGGCCGGGGCGCCTCACCTGGGCGTTGGCGCCATCGGGGCCGTCCCCCTCGGCGTCGAGCACCTCCCAGTCGGGGCCGGGCTCGGACGGCTCCTCGAGCGACTCGTCGTCGTCCGGCAGGCCGGACGGATCCGGCACGTACGCGTGGAACAGCCGCAGGTGGCCGCGCACGTGCGAGCGGGCGCTGGGGGCGGCGGCGCCCGTCACAGCTCGGCCGGGCGGGCCGCCGGACGCACACGAGGCACGCTCCAACCGATCTGCAGGTTTGCACTGCTGGAGCACGCCTCTCACATCGCACGTCTTCCAACGGCACGCAACAACTGGCTACGTTAGCATGGCTGTGAGATCAGTCACCCGGCTTCTCCTCCAGCGACGTTCAGCGTGGTTTGCTCACAACCACTGTTCAAGTCACTGGACGACCACAACCAGATCCAGAATTATCTGGGAGGGCGCAACTGGCGCGACTTTGGCGCGACTGACTTTGGCGCGATGCAGTTTATCGTTTCACTGTTACTGTTACCCATTGCAAGCACATGAAATAATGAAGACGCTTTCATGTTACTCAGTCGGCGCCAAAGGCTGCGAAATTTCAGGGGATGTAAGCTTACCTGACTAGCCTACGGTGTCAGGCATCAATGCAACAGACATTAACCCAACACGCCCGGCTATTCTTTGAGAAGCAGCTGCAGCTGCGCACCACCCAATCTAACGGCCACTTCGGTGCCTATACTACATCTCCGCGGGTGACGTGGAAGTGGGGGTTCGGGCGAAACGACGGGCAAACGTGACCCAGCGCCACTATCGCATCACTGCGCCTTCACACACAGCGTGATGAGACCCGCTGACGGGTTCCCGCTCGGTGCACGCGGAGTGCTAACTCGTGTCGTCGGCGGTCCCGGGGAGGTACGGGGGGAGGCCCCCCCCCCCCCACCCGTACCCCGTGAGCCGCCGACAGTAGCCAGTTCAGAACTGGCCGCCGATCACAGAGAGGTCCCTTTACATTCAGATCTGATGGCAACAAAATCGGCCGTTACTAACTTATCATTACACAACACAGACTCTTGCTGTGCTAATGCGTTCCGCTCCGCAACATTGGCCGCTACCGGAAGCAAGCGCTCTCACCACTAGTGGACGTGATGAACATGACCAGCGTCTATATCCGCTTGCCGCTGACCACGAGCACCGTCTCACACCCCAGCGCCATCTTGACAAATATCGTGCGGCACACGATTCACCCTAGTGGCACGCGGATTTTTCTCTCCGAAGAACAGCCGCAGAAGGACACTATGAAGACGCTGTTCTTGCGCACAAAAACCCATCCGGTCCCCACTGCACCACACCTGCACCAGTAAGCAACACCCACAGCAGTGCAGTCCGGCCAACCGCCGTCAAAGCACGGCACATTTACCTGAAACAGCACCAGAGCCCGGTGTTCCCGTACGCCGACATCCCTGCCGCCTAGCCAGTCGCTGGCGCGCGCACCAGCCGAGCGCGCCGCGTGCGCCACCTGTCGCGTCCAGCGACGGGCGCAGACGTCGGCGGCGCGCGCGCGTCCGTGCCCCGGGCGAGGGCGCCGGACAGCTGATGAATGCGGCCGCCCGGCCGTCGGCACGCTCGCCATTAATGCGGCAGCAGGGCGGCGGGAGGAGCCGGCCCGCAGCGCGCCCGGCGTCACCGCCGGTGCCGTCCGCCAGACGCCGGCCGGCCCGTCGCGTCGGGCGCCGCTCGGCTGACGCCCGCACAGACAGCAGCGCAAACCCATTCGTCGCGAGCTCCGTGGAGCAGCTGGCAACGCCGCCTGCGTCGAGAGCGGCTGGTGACATCTTGGACTTGCTAACAGGAATGAACCACTGGCGCGTGTGTAACGAGCTGGCGTGTGCCCGGTGTGCTATATCGAGTGCGCATGAGGACTGGCGGTGCGGCCAACTTCGTGTAGCAGCCTGAGTACCCAGAGTAAATATATCAATTTGATGGGTTCATATTTGGCAGGCCCATGTCATGACCGCTTGAGGGCGATGCAGATGCGGGGAAAGGCTCGCTCCGTCGAGAAGCCGCGGAGATGGAAACCGGTCGGTGGCGTGAGCCGATCCATCAGTCCCATAACAGGCGGCAGCACGGGACCGGGCCAAACCGTCGTGTGTATACCAGCTTCACCAGCCAGTACAGCACATACAGCTGGAGGTCCAGAGGAACCCTGCCTCACAATCTAACTGCGGCCCAGCTCGGCTCCACTGGATGTCCCACGAGCACCAGTTTGTACCGGCGCGTACAGCATGCCCCAGCTCCGCTGCTGGGAGGGCCGACCACCAGCTCAGCACCACACGAACACCAGTTTGTACCGGAGCACGCAGCATGCCCCAGCTCCGCTGCTGGGAGGGTCGACCATCAGCTCAGCACTACACGAACACCTGGCGGCAGTTCGTCCCTGTGCGGCTGCACTGACGCCCATAGCAGCCCCCCCCCCCCCCACGCCCCGCTCTCCCCACCTGGACAAGTCCTGCGTCGCCCCCTTCTGGACTTACCCACGCAGATCCGTCTGCCTCATCGGCGACCCACAGCTCAGTCGGCAGGACAACCCGACCGAACTTCACAGAGAAGGCCCGGCTGACCTTCGAGAGGGACCGCTCCCTCCCACACGCCCGCCCCGCCGACCCCGAGCCCGCGCCGGCCTCCGACTCAGCAGGCTCACCTGCGCGGTCGGAGCACATAATTCTTCTCCGGGATCGAGCGGCCGGGCCTCTGACGCGGCAGCGTGGCCAGCGGCAGCTCGATGCGGCCCAGAAAGTCGTCACGCGTCAGCCGGTTCTCGTCGTACACCTCCAGCACCAGTCTGTGCTCGGCCGGCTTCACGCGGAACAGAAACTCTTGGTTCCACTCCGGGTTCAGCGTCTGGGGCGGGGCGGGGGCCGTTTGAGAGGGCGGGGCGCGGGGCGGGGCTGCCGGCCCGACCAGTTCAGCGGAGCGGGCGTCGCAGCGACAGCTTTCTTCACGAGGCAAGTTTGCTATCGTCTGCAGTAGAAGATGCGCCACAGTATGAAGTAGAGCGTCCAGGGAAGAAAGCATACAGCACACACAGACAGGACTGCATCTTCAGGGACATTACTCAGTGCACGATTAGCAGGTCAACGATAGCGCGCCAGCAGTCAGCTGAAGAGGCCCCGATTACGTCACAACTCAGTGCCGTTGCAACAGCTGTCAAATCCCTCATCGACATCCCCATCGCAGCTGTAAACAGCGTCCGGTACATGCCCGCCGATCATGGACACCCGCATTTTGGAGGTCGGCACAGCCTTTTGCCAAAACATTTCATTTCGTGGCTATGGCAACCATGCTCTGTGGCGAGGACAGCGAGTGGCGACGGCGAGAGCCCGTAGCGGCGACGGCGAGAGCCCGCACGTACCCTTCTCTTGGTTTTGGTAAGAACGGCGTCGATCACCTCCTCATCGTCACCCTCGCCGCGGACTAGGTCGATTCGGACGTACGGATCGCTGGCGCCGAAGATGTCCTTCCTGGCCAGGTTGTGGCCCGAGATGACCCGGAGGGACAGCAATTTGGTGGCCTCCAACTGGAAATGTCATACGTTTACAACGGCGCGTGAACAGCACGACGGTGCTCACACTCACGCGCGGCAGTGCCAGTTGAATCCTGACAGGACTTCACGGCAGTCGCTGTTCAGCAACAGCAGTTCCGTTAGCTGGAGGTGCGCCACACGAGAGGTTAGCTCTGACATCTGCCCACCAGAGATATACCGGATTCTGCCTGAAAGGTGGTTCTATGCTCACCGGGTCCACCCCTGGGTTTGCCATGTTATTTCTTCTGGTCAAAACTATGAATCATGAAGCTCAGTACAAACACAAAATTTCGCACAATAAGCCTTATTGATAATGATTGGAGTTTGATGGCGCGCCGACTACGAAAGCCATTTTGCACCTGCACAGAAAATCTTGTTATCGCCAACGTTCACATACGCAATGCTTAACATCCACAAAGCTTTCGGCCATATCAGCGCTCTAAAAAGAAACTGGTCGCAGCGCCGAGCTCCGCGAACAAAATTCCTTGGGTCTCGAGTCTTGATTTAGATTGGATTTCGCCACATTTGCGAACCACACTTATAAGTGGGCACGGGAAAGTAAACAGCGATCACTATATTCGGGCGCGTCGGGCGCGTTGTAACCGGCATCACTGATCTCACGTACACTACAGCCGGTGAGCCGATTTAAGCGGTATGGGACGAGCGAGGCAATAACAGACGGGCCTGTTACCACCACGGCGATGGCATCAAAACGACAGGCAACAGACCCCATCGCCTTTCAGCAGCTACAGAAGTAGGTGCCCTACATGTATTGTGGCATCAATCTCCAGTGCAGTCAGCCCTCGCAAGCAGAGGCGTCCCGTGAAGCGGTCGTGGACAAATTTATAAGTCACATCCTTGAAAACTGGCCACCTGGGGGTCAGGCAGGGGAAGCTTACGGCAGGAAAGGCCTTAAGTTCTCATTTTCGACATAGTGAGCTCTAATGCTCGGGCTCCAAATGCCCAACGCAGCCGACGTGCTCGAAAACCCAAAATAAACAAAAGAGCCCGCGTATTGAAAATCACCGCACTTCAGCAGTAGCCCTCCCACTCAATTTCGGTGCCTGCTTAATATGCTGTTCTCACTAGCACGGCCCGCTGTAATGAGCGCCGGCTAGTTTCGTCATCAGAACTCACAAGGTTTGATAATTTCAACCCATGCAATCGGTTGAGTTTGAAGGGTTCACGCTTTTTTCTCAGCATATATGGACATCGATCACATTAAGTATTAGGCTTTGCGCCCTTCGCAGCTTTCGTGACCTAATCCCTCTCGGTCTAGACCACGACGTATTGTGTCCGAAGTCGGTGAGAACGAGGGGTGAGATTGCCCGTCGGCCGTTTACTGGCGCGTCTTCAGGTAGGAAAGTGCGCGGATCGGCAACTGATTTGTCCCGGAACGTTTGCTGGCGCCATGCTGTCAGCCCCATATAACCTGATAACCATGCTCTGGTTATCAGGATCTGACATCGATATTTGCGACGGCCAAAGTGTGTGGATCTACGGCTCCCGCACGAGCCCGCGCGCGGTCGGCTGCACGCACCGACCCACATTCCCGCCCGGACTATTGTCGGCCCTCTGCCCCGTCACAAGGAGCCCAACCTTGTGACGTAACAGCGTTCGATCGTAGATACCTGGCTCTGGTTTCGTCCCGTCTCACCTGATAGCCAGTTGAGTGTGTTACACTCCCCACACTGATATAACCGTTTGCAGGTGGAGTTCTGACAATACGGCAATAGAGCGTGGAAATATTTACACAGCTTGCACGCTGAGGCGCATGGGGGGGGGGGGGGCGGCAGATCAAGTTGCTGAAAACTGTAGAACAATGGTCAGAGGCAGTAAAAATACAAGCTCGCCAAAAACAAGTGTTCGCCTTGAATAAGAGTGTATCTGGTACAGATCTGCTGATGAAACTTTCAAGCAAAATGTCACATAACCTTGTTTTAAGGTTGGCTCCACCTGACCACCGAATGAATGGAAATTAACACAGTTGTAATTTACATTATTGGTGGTTGTGAGCAACAACTTGCAAAACCCCAACCATTTAGGGGGTAAACTGTACATGGTGAGCTGCGTTAGGTTTACGTCTGTTTCCGTGCTTCGGTAATTGTATGGCACATGCTTTGAACAAGGTAACAAATTGATAACCAGATTATGTGGGTCCTGGCACATAGAGCAAAAGGACTTGCATCCACAGATCCCTCGGCATCAAACACCATGCTGACTGACCTACAAGGAGGGAAAGGAGGGAAAGGGGGGGGGGGGGGGGGGGCAGCTAAAAGTCCTGAGATTTGCCAGCTCCATGTGGGGCTTGAAGGTAGGGTGTTGCACAACAATTACATGAATCACCTTAAAACCCAATAATCACTTAGGTTTGGAGGTGCAGAATCATAAGATATAAAACCAGTGGCCCCAGGCTTCTTGAAAGAACACAGAGACTGTGCATATATAGCTGCAGGGGGCATGGAACAGGGAAGACATTTTAATGGAGGAATACACTGAGCTGCCAGTACTCACACTATTATGAAACTTTAACATTGGCTCCATGAGGATGGCATGGAATGAGTTAGCTAAGCATACCACAATTTCACCGCATTCCCCTCTGCTCACCAATTCACATCACATAACAATAGAAACAGATGAGTGGCCCTGTTGTTCTCTGACATGACCCTGCATCTGATTTGGGAGTGGAAGGGTCTGGTACCTATAACAAAACAGCCAGAACTCAATCAGGCTCACAAAACACAACCAAATATAGGGATATATACATATATATATATATATATATATATATATATATATATATATATATATATATATATATGTGTGTGTGTGTGTGTGTGTGTGTGTGTGTGTGTGTGTGTGTGTGTGTGTGTGTGTGTGTGTGTGTGTGTGTGTGTGCGTGCGTGCGTGCGTGCGTGCGTGCGTGCGTGCGTGCGTGCGTGCGTGCGTGCGTGCGTGCGTGCGTGCGTGCGTGCGTGCGTGCGTGCGTGCGTGCGTGCGTGCGTGCGTGTGTGTGTGTGTGTGTGTGTGTGTGTATTATATACATGGGTTATGGATGACAGCCAGGTTTGGGCTAGAGGGCCACAGTCACAGTGAAAGCTGGGGGTAGGTGTCATGGTGAAGTGTTGGGGGGAGGGGGTTGAGCATGGAAGTTGGGGTATAGTTGAGGTATTGTAGGAGATAGAGCCAGGGTTTAAAGTTGGAGAAGGGTTAGAGAAAGTGGTTGGGGTGGAGTCATAGAGGTAGGGTTGGGGGTAAGAATAGGAATAGGGATTAGGTATGGTAGCTTTAATAAATTGGGTTAGCTTAGCTAGTTAGGTATTAATTAGCTGATGCTGGTGAGTGGTTCAATGGCCAATGACCAGATGACAACAGGACCCATTAAGATATGTTGAAGTGCTTCAATAGGCACCATATATAATATATATCATGTGCTAGTTCTTTATCAATGTTACCATACAAAACTCACATATGCCACTTACCAATTCAAAAATATCAAGCTCCATGATTTCCCAGCAATGATTCTGATTGTTTTTGGAGCCAGCAACAATGTGATGTATGTACTCATGCACCAACATGGTGAGGCAATGTTGGCTACACAGCAATGATTCTTATTGTTTTTGGAGCCAACAGCAATGTGAGTATGTACTCATGCACCAACATGGTGAGGCAATGTTGGCTACACAGCAATGATTCTTATTGTTTTTGGAGCCAACAACAATGTGAGTATGTACTAATGCACCAACATGGTGAGGCAATGTTGGCTACACAGCAATGATTCTTATTGTTTTTGGAGCCAACAACAATGTGAGTATGTACTCATGCACCAACATGGTGAGGCAATGTTGGCTACACAAATTATCTGTCCTGGATAGGCTCAAATGTTATCTCCTGTAATCACTAGGTGGCTGTCTCATATGGTTGATTGGCATGGGTTACCAATTTTGCTCCCACATAATCTATGCATCACAGAAAAACAGCACTGCATGCTGAGTGGGATAGGGTGGACACCATTAACATCATTTTAAGCCTGGCTGGTGTAAGGAAAATAAGCTATTATTTTAATGACATTTTTATAATGGTCTAAATCCTACCCTAGCATGCCCAAGGCACAGTATTTTGTCAGTATCAGACACAGGTGGAGCATGTTGAGCATAAGCAGTGGAACATGCATGAGCAGGTGTGGCACAGGCTGCACATTGTACGAAGTTAAACAAGATCTCTTCAGCATGCATATAATGCTGGGTGGTTCAGGACAGCTTAGGCATGCACCTCTCTATAATTCAGCATCCACCAAGTGGCTCTGGTGCATACCAAGCTTTTATGCATGTGCTGCTCATAAAACATTAAGGACTGATTTGGAAAGCAAAACAAGGATCTCTAGAAAAATACAAAGCAGCAAAGGAACTGCAAAAGCACAGTCAGGCCATAAATACACTGCATTTAACAGATACCTATGCCAGAAATTTGCAGTGAAAATTATGAGCTGTTAACCTCACACTATTCCCATCACTCATCTGGTTTTAACATGCACATCATTCAAATATGTTTGTGGGAGAAAATACAGATGGCAAGGCATGGGAAATTCAATGCCTGTAAGCCCCACAGATCATGCCTATCCTGGCCCAATGATAAGAGTGTGTGTGACACTGAAGCAAAATCAGTAAAGCCAATGGGACTTTGCAGAGGAAGTTAAAAAATACTTTAAAAAGTGCCTGAAAACAAGACAGCAAGGCAGCCAGTGTGTATCAGCAAAGAGGATTCTAGAAAGTACATACATGATTGGACAATGCTCATGGGCTTTAGCCACAGGGGTGTGTACCAAGGTGCAGTGATCTGAACATGCAGTTTGGGGATAGCATTAAGCTCCTGGTGCAAGACCATTAAAATTCAAAAAGCTTGCAATACATTAGTTAGAAGGGTCTAAGCACCAGTTTACTTACATGGCCGTTTAAGCCCATTTGTGGCTGGTATCCATTGACAGCCTGATCCCCCATTCTTCCGACTAATTCACAGGAACTCTAACCCGCCAACAAAATATGACAACCTTACATAAGCCTTGTCCTCATCATAGCCTGAAAACATGCAATTGAAAATTCAACGTCTGCCCACACCCAGATCAGAAAGCAACCCTCTCCCCATCCAAGACTTTCCCCCAACCTACATCCCCAAACGCAACATCTATGCCCAAACTCCCATCTTCAACTTTGCATAGGAGTCTCAAGGCCGTATGCGAGAGGCAAAACCGTCCGGAGATTTTTACTTCATACTCGCTTAACGCTAGTACGTCACTGGTGCCGAGACTTAAATGCGCGGCGGAACGCTAGGCGCCCGATGTCGTGTTGAGGCATAGGTGCAGGAACACGGAGGAGAGGGGGGGAGGGGAGGGGAGAAAGGCACGAGGCCATGCCCCCCACTTTTCACTGGGGGAGGGGGTCAGCAGTGTTGACTGGCCGATCCACTTTTTTGATTAAGGTTGTGCTTAGCTTACTTTTGCACTATATCAAACATATTCGTTTATTTACCTAGTTCGCCAACCATTTTCCTCAGGACGCGTCATCTTTATCGTTCGCTCGTTGGCCTTCGCCTAGTATCACAGCCGCAAGGCCGAAACCGCGTGGCCTATGGAGACTGCAACGCCGGGCGTCGAGGCTGGTGTTGCTATGACTTGCGAGCGCGCATGTTCAAAACCATATTACACAGTTTTTTATCAGAAATCAATTCCGACTGAACCTTGAATATTTTAAGAGGAACATGGATAACCCATGTTGTACAACTTTCGGATCCCTTTCCACCTACAACCTACGTTCAGGGAGTCAAATATCTCTGAAGAACACGAAAAAAATATGGAACTGGTGTCTATGTGACTCCAGCTCCATGTTTCCTATGAGTCTGTTAGACAATCTGCGGCGATCAGGGGTGTTGTTGCATCAATGAGGGCTCCTGTACTGATCCGAGGCCAACTGCGTGGGTCAGAAGGCCTCTCGTGTCAGGGAGGGAACAATGCGATATGATATATCCCTCTAATAGCCTCCGAATTGACCAGGAGATCCCACCCGCGTCGCTCGAATGACAGGCAGAAGACACTTTGCGGTGGGACGGAATGGCCATTCAACCCTTGACCAGAAACAGTAATGTGCCCTGGTATCCTACTCAAAGAAAGTAAGTTCTGTTCCCTGGCCCGAAAGGAAATAATGGGTTTTATTATTTTCAAGTAGAGTGAGGTCTCATTATTGTTGAATAGAATGGGCTGAAATGAGATTAAAAAGCGAACAAGGTCATCCCATGTTTGCCTGAGAGCGTCCATTTTTCAGAATAAACTAGTGAAGCAAATTACCTTAAAAGGTTTGAACATGGCCTCGAGAACAAGGACAACGATGGCCTGGGTGGCGGCTTCCGCAAAACCGAATGGTTTTGGCCACTACAAGTGCCACCAGACGGCGGGCGCCATGTTAATAAGTCTTCTAGACAAATAAATAGTTACAGAAGCACGAAAAATAGACATTCTTCCTTTACTCTTCCAGTTCAACCACTAGATTCCAGCCCCACTTCGCGGTTCTTTAACACACGTACGGGTAAGGGGTTAAATTGACCCCCGAAGGTTTTTCCAGAATGGTTTCCGAAGAAACGGCGTAGCCCCGCCCAATTTTGGATAGCTGTAGACAACTGAATAGCGAATCGTCTGGCATATAAATTTATATATACGTTGTAAAGTCGCTGATCTATGGCAGGTCAAACTCAGGCCATGGCTTCAGCGAAGGCAATTTCTAGGGAATCGTTCAATCTTATCCAACAACGGAGTGTTAGACAAAGCCATAATCTCTGAGATATTTTCTTGGGCAACACAAAAATTGAATAAGCAAATTACTTTGACTTAAGGTCAGGTATGCAGGTCAGACCAAGGTGAAAGTAACCCTGTTTTATTACTCTAGAGCCTGCTGGATGGGATATCATCTTGTGTTCATTTCGAATTAATTGACAACAGGAACCACATTATACACCTTCCATAGCCTTTTTAAAAGTCAGAATAGGTCACTGACCCAGAACGACACAGGCCAACGTTTTGTTTGTAGGGATCTACTGCCTAGCGTAATCTTTGTGGCTTATCCAACTGCAAAACTCAGAACGGTCTTGGATGATTTTGTTCACCATAACCTTCAAAAGGACGAAAGAGGTCACTGACGTTAGATCATCATGCGAATTTTTGCTTAGAACAGTTATCTAGGTTCAATGGACCCTTTTGAGACCAACCTGGAATATGATCTTGTTCGAACTTATTTGACCCGAAGGTCATGACCTAGGAACCTTAGTTTCTGAGACCTTTAGGAGGGGGGTTCAAATTGCCCCCCCCCCACCCCACCATAGCGAAGGGTGTCCAACCGGCCACCCAGGCGCGTGTTAAGAGCCAATCCGTTCTTATTATCAGTTTGAAAATGGCACACGTAAAATATGCGACCAGATTCCCTTCTAAATGCAAAATTTGATGTCATAAAGCGTTCAAAGATACCTTTTCAGAACCGTCGTCATTTTTGTCCATCTGCTGACCACAACTCAGTATTAGCTGCTAAGCCCACGCTGCGTGACCTACTGAGGCCGCAACGCCTGCCATCGAGGTTTCTGTTTCTAAGATTTTCGAGTGTGCATGCCCAAAATTACTCTACATAACTTGTATTTCTGATCGATTGAAGTGTTCAAAAGAAATCATTTCAGAAACGCCATCCTTTTTGTCCACCGGTGGGCCACGGCCAAAATTTAGCCACCAGGCTAGCGCCTCGCGGTCTATGGAGACTGCTACTCCTGGAATCGAGGTTTTTGTTGCTAAGGTTTGCGAGCACGCATGTTAAAAAAAAAATCACGTTACATAAACTCTCATCAATAACAGATTCTGGATGAGTTTGGAACATCTCCAGGCAAACATGGCTTGGCTATGTTAATAAGCGTTGTTGACCACCCGATCTGCAATCAAATTTTCATCTTCAAGTTTGAATCGAACATATCGATCTACAATTTAGCTTCACGATGTCCTAAGTGTCTGTAGAAACCAGGTAGAAAACTCTGACAACGCTTCTGAATTCTGTCGATTTAGAAAGAGTTCACTAAACCATCGTAAATTGAGCGCGCTGGTGATTCATTCCATGCTGTCGTTCAACGTCTGATCTATGCAGTTTTTGGCTTCAGAATACATACAGAATTGATTCGACGTTTGCTCCTGGTTTCTATTCTGGTTACAAGGTAGAATAACAACAAAGTGATGAAAATGATGTCCCTTGTTAACAAGTTAGCTACACCCAGGGATGTTTTTCGAGGGGAGGGCAGGGGGTCACCATAAGATGGGCTTTTGTCAACCCTGTGTTCCCCTTGGCAACGCTCTGGCTACGCCACTGCCTACATACAGAAGCAGATCAAGTGGTCTACGTTGATTAATGGACAATTAAATATCGGTGGGGCTAATGCACACCTAAGGCAGGCAGCTTCCCGGAGGCTATTTTTCCTCGGTGGTGTGGTGTAAGGGAAAATAATTCGCAAAAAGATACTGTGGCAGGTGTACAGCATATGTATCATACACCAATTAGTAGTAATGCTGATCCAAAAATGCGCGACAAAGCAGCCATACGCTCAGTTCGCAGTCAGTCATGCGGGAGACAGCCGGGCCAGGGCAGTGGCCGCCGACGGCGGGCGGGAGCAGGGCTTAGATAGGGAACATATGACAGACGGACCCTAATTCTGTGGCTTGGTTTTTAAAGGAGAATCTCCAGTTTTATGTCTTTTGTTACATTGCTTTTGGCAGTTTCAAGCTTCTGAAATTGTTTCCGTCTAAAATGCTACTGCAAGTCTCTCGACAAGCAGCAACCGAATTTAAGGCGCATGAAAAATCTGTCGCACCGTGAGTCATCGATCCACTTTCAAAATTCTAACCAGCCTATGCCCAGGTCGTATGTTGGAATGTGCCCAGTGGAGGCAGATGGCTCCTCAATCAGCCAAAATGCATACCCGCTCGTGGAATTTCGCCCCCCCAGAAAAACCAGTGTTAAAATGGACGAATAATCTTGGGAAGCTGGATAGCCTTATTTGCCCAATGACATAGATGAGTTGAATAGGCAGCATTGTGCGCCAATGAGAAACAGCTCTAGATGTATATTTAGCATAGTAGTCATGGCATTTGAGCAAAGGCGATAACAAACTCCATCTCTACTCCCCCCTTCCCCCGGCCATCGGGCTTGCCTTCAAGGAAAAGTTCTTGAAGTACACCCTGAGCTTGTCCCCCACGTTTTGAAACGTCCCTATGCCTACGTGTTGAGGTGCAATGGGGGCATTGGAATGTCGTGTATACACCACACACACACACACACACACACACACACACACACACACACACACACACACACACACACACACACACACCACACACACACACACACACACACACACACACACACACACACACACATATATATATATATATATATATATATATATATAATATTATATATATATATAATGAAAAAGTCACCAGCAGAATTCAAATTCAGCGAGCCGATTACGTAAGATTTTATGGCGAGTATGATAATTGTTTGCAAGCGTATTACCAAGGTGAGAGGCAGGCGATGTCACATAACCTGAGCAGCTGAGTGTGTCGTAAAGCACACTGGCTTCCTTCTCCCTTTGATTTTATCTGGATCCTCTTGATGATCTCCTTGCCTCTGCTCGCCACGTGTCAGCCCCGCCGGTTTTGTACCCCTCCTCTGGAACGACCCCTCGGCTTCGCCTGCGGCAAGTCACCTCGCCGTGGTTCCTCCTCGTTCCTCCCATTGGCTTGGGAGTGCTAAGTCCGCCTCAGGTGCTTCCGTCGGCCGATGTATTTCGACCTCGCGACCGACAGCTGACGTCACGTTTTCGACCTCGTCACCGACAGCTGACGTCACGTTTTCCGGACCTTTCGACCCCAGCCCGGTGTTTCCACGGCAGTTCCGCGCAGACAAAAGGTGCGTTACCAGCGGGCACCGGAGAGCCGGAAGTGAGATGATACTCGGGTGCCAATGTACGCCAGCCGTGCCGTACTGGGTGCCTTCTACCACTTCGGGCTAGTAATCAGCCTGTCCAACCTTCGTGGTCGCTAGCGACTGGGCTTGATTTCGAAAGTTGGCTAGCTTTTCTGTGGGCTTTACACTGAGGCTGAGTATGTATATATAT